CCCTGGAGCGCTACCGTCAGGCCTACGTGGATTACAAGACCGTCCTGCAGATAGACAACAGTGTGCAGGCAGCACACGACAGCGTCAACAGGTATTAGCCTTCACCTCTCACTTCAACTGAGAGACTGCAGAGGGCAGAGAGAGAGGTGTCTGTGCTGCAACACAGAACTGACAGAGTGACTTTTAACATTCATTCATTCATTCAGTCACGGTCTGATTGGCATCACAAAGCCAGCATTTGGCTGAATATTACAATCCCCGTGGCACTGGTGTCTACTATGTTTTTATTTGTACTGATAAAGAGATCTATGATCAAAGTGGTTCTGCTATCTATTCTCATTCTGGGTGACACATAATATCATCAGGTGTTTTAGAAAGGGAGATAGAAAGCGGATTGAGATAAGAGGATGTTATTGCTCAATGTGCCTTGATTGATAGTATTTCCAATACTAATATACACCAGAAATTGCATTATAACATAATCAGAAGACATATAAATAAATCTAATGAACAAACACAAAGTCTAATCAGTGGCTACCAGATTTAGCTGGTGTTCAAAAGCAGCTCCAGCTAGCGGCTAATAATGGCTCTCAGAGTGCAGAATGTCCTCTCTGTTATGCAATAGAGAAACTCACCTGGCTGATTTGTGTTCAGGAGTACCAGAGGTCATAGCTTTAGTGTTTGTCCAGATATATCTACAAAATTGAACAACAAGATGCTTGTATAAAAACACCCTATGCAGTAGAACGGTATATTAACACATATGGTCACTTTCTGTCAGCCGTTTTAATGTCTTGTCTGTGTGTGACTGTGTTTAGTAAATTCAACTTGCACACGTGTCCGTGTGTAGCATCCATGTATTGACTGATCTGCGTCCTCCTCCAGGATCACCCGGCTGCTAATTGAGCAGGACGGTCCAGAGTGGAGAGAGAAACTTCCGGACATTCCCCGGGTGCCTCTGTCAGCTCAGCAGCACCGCAGAGAGGAGCCACCCAGCGCAGAGGTCCTCCAGGCTCGAGCAGAGAAGGCAGCCAGGGATGCAGGTCTGTTTTAAAAAGTCGAAATCGTGACTCCCAAAACGCAGTGTTACATTTACTGGTGTGAATTATTCTTTGGAATATTCCTTTTGCAATAAAATCTCGACAAGTCACATGTTTTGAGGCTCCCGTGTAAATCCTTAACCTTAATCTTAATGTAAACTGGATTAATAATAACAAGTGTGACGTAAGGGCAAGATAGCCCTGTGCTTTCTGAAGCCCGTGTTGGGAAATGCCTGTGTGAAAAGCCTTAACAAGAGTTCCGGTTTAAAAGCTCTCCATTAATGCTGGGGTAGGCAATGTTGGAGAACTTTTTTAATGCACAGTGAGTGCACGAGCAGAGTGCTCGCAGGTAGGTAGGCAGGTGACTGGTAATGCTTAGTACAGCAGCCACAGATACCGGATTGTTTTCATTTTTATTTTATAGCATTTGAGTTATTGATTGCTGTCAGGATGTAAAGAGAATTTCACAAAGGTTTGTTTGTTAACAAAGATAACAAAAAAAGCTTCTGAAATAAATTGCCTACACCGGCGGTGTGGTTCACATTTATGCTTGACATCAGTAACTAGTAATAGAAATAAACTTTTTCATACAAAACATATGATGAGCTTATAATGCAGTGTTGTAGATTAGACATTAGTAAATACTTCATTAAAATAATGGTATATGAATGAAGTGTTGCTGCTTTTACTCAACTAAAGGATCTGAATTCCTCTTCCACCACTGCTTGACAATGACATAGAGGAATAGACTCTATTTACCACTAATATTCAGCTCAGTCCTGTTTCTCGGTCACTCCGCACTTAGAAAGAAGGAAGATGTTTAAGTCCGGATTTTTATATAAGTGGACGTGTCACCTCTGTTCTCTGACCAAGCAGTTTCTCCGTTCCCTGGGCTCTGCTACAGCCGTTATTTTTAAACACTAGTGAAAGAATAGACCTGCTGGCACAGTTTTTTTTTTCCCAGAAGACACTTTACTGCAGATTGATTAGCCCTTAGTCCACACCTTGACTGATTGCTGACTTAACTCTCATGCCTCACGTCCAGCTAGCACAGCATTCATTTTGAGGGTTTAAACCTTCAGGCTTTATACAGAAGACTGGCATATTTCACTTTGTTAGGTTTTCTTAGAATTGAAAAGGAGGTCTATTAAAATGTATTCCAAGTGTCAATGTAGATTCATTACTTCAACAGAAAGGAGAATTGAAATGCTCTTCGTGTGAGCAAGCAATCATAAGTAATCACCACTTTTACGTTGTCTTCCAGAAAGGAAAGCAGAAGCGCAGTTTACAGCCTTGAAGCAAGAAGGGAATGACTTTGTGAAGAAGGGCCAATACCAGGATGCACTGGGAAAGTACACTGAATGCCTTAAGCTAAAGCCAGAAGAGTGTGCAATCTACACCAACAGGTTAGAGGCACCGTTTCACCTCAACACGAACAAACACAGACGCTGCTGTGGTCTCTTTCTCTTTCACTTCCTCACTACTACTCTACTACTCTCTACACTAATACGTCTCATGGTTGGTTTCTTTATGAAGCAGGAATGTCAGAAAACACTATTTATTCTTTTGGATAAATAAAACCAGACTGATTCATTATCCCCAGCTGTCATCTGTCAGGCCGTGCATTCAGCTCTGAAGCTAATCCAAACCAGCCGTCAGCCTGTCACTGGTAGTAAATTAGCATGTATTGTTGGTAAGTTAACAGAATGGCCGAGGCTCAGGAAACAGCTGCCTGCTTCAGGACTGTTCATCACAACTCCATGTATAGCCACTATCATGTCATCTATAGAGAAATCCAGAATGAAGTCAGACCTGCCAGCTGTATGCAGGTGTGACTTCATTCTGTCTGCCTCCCCTTTCTTTTTCATTATGGTGGGTAGATTGTTGATCATGTCGCAGAGCAAACTGTGATGTTGTCAAAAATGTCCTACAGTGTGTTCATGTTTGCACGTGTGTATGTTCTCTGCTGCGGAAAAGAGCTTGTATGTACAGCCACACCAGAGCAAACACACACTTGTTACTGCCACACAGCTGCTGACAACACATTGATGAAGACAACAAAGCCAGTGGAGCAAAGTTCTCTGATGTCTCATCTATTTCATATAAAAATCATCTTAAATATCAAGTCTGATTCGCAGTCGATGAGTCACAATCTCATGATACTTATTAGTCATGCATCAGATAAAATAAATAACCCAAGTGACGTGTGTGTGTGTGTGTGTGTTTGCAGAGCCCTGTGTTACTTGAAGCAGGAGAGGTTTACTGAGGCCAAGCAGGACTGTGATGCAGCACTGAAACTGGAGCCAAGTAATAAGAAGGCCTTCTACAGACGAGCCCTTGCCAATAAAGGCCTCAAGGTGAACAGAGCTGGCTGTTAATGACAAAAGCCACGAGTGAATGTGTTCATTTAAAAGGAGGGCTGGGGGGTGGGGAGGGGAGGTGTCTTTTTTTTCTCACCCCCTCTTAAAATATGTAGTAACTCTCTTAATTCTGAACTTTGTCTTTCCACCAGGACTACCTGGCGTGCAGCTCTGACCTGCAGGAGGTACTGCAGCAGGATCCCAACGTGCAGGAGGCTGAGAAGGAGCTGGAGGAGGTCACAGTGCTGCTCAGGCAGAGTCTGGCCAACGCTTCACCAGCCAAACCCAGGAGGACTGTCCCCATCACAGAGGTAGGTACACATGTATGTCTTTGATGAATATTTCAACCAGGCTTCAGGTCGGATCCACTGCAGTGCTCCCCTGAAAAGTGGGATTGTCTTTTTCCACTCATCATTGGCATATTCACTCTTGACATCAATATAGTGGGTTTATTTACTTGTGTTTGGAAGGAAGGTGACTATGGAGGGAGAGTGAAGGGGCCTGGCTCAGGCTGTCCATCAAGCCTCCAGGGATAGCAGGAGTTTGTTGGTTTAGTGGGAACTGAAGGCCACATAAAGCCTTAGGACCCAGAAAGACTTTTTGGGGGCGTCTTGGTAGCATAGTGGTTAAGATCGCAACATCTTCAGTTTGATTCTGGTCGAGGACCTCTCTCTTCCACTTTTATCATCCTGTTCATGTTTCCCATCAGGTTGACAGTGACGAGGAAACAACAGCCGTAACTAACACAGAGAGCAGCTGCCGAGGAAAGGACATTGGCGTCAACCTCAAGCCGACCGACGCCTACGAATTCGGCCAGGCTCTGAATGCAGCTCGCTGCAGCAGAAACACAGCGGCCTGCGCTGACTTGCTGGCCTCCACATCCCCGGAAATGCTTCCTCAGTTCCTGAGCACCCAGCTGGATGGACACACCATCAGCTTCATCATGCAGGCGCTGGACTCCCACCTCCTGGAGAGAGACCCTAACCTGGTCTACCAACACCTCAACCATCTGCACACCACCAACAGGTTCTCGGTAAGATACGCTTTAAGCCCCGTCAATAGAAGGTTTTGTAATTCAGAAAAACCTACAACCTGACAAGATCTTTGCAGTCAGGTGTCTCCTTACAGAGCACACATTTGTCCACCGCAGCTGAGGTTTGCTGTTTTCACAGGTTGTCCTGATGCTGCTGGAGAAGGACGAGCATCGTCATATGACTCAGCTGTTTGAGCATCTGTCTGCTGTGGAGTGCACCGAGTTTACTAAGAATGATGTTCAGAATCTGGCCAACAAATACATCTGACCCACCCGCCCCTGCTCCCTGCTGCATGAGCTGCTGCACCACTACAACTCTTGGATCTATGCAAAACACTGTACAAAGGCAGGAAGCTGCAGAATGTGCCGCAGTGCAATACAAATGGAGCTGAGTCACATTCTCTCTACTGGCCTGAGCAGTAAATGTGATCACTGTATGTTTGAGTGACAGTATAAGGAATATATTTTTCTCTCCAGAACATTTTGCTATGCAGAGTTACTTTTGTACCACCACTAACCACTTGCATTGTACAACAGGGAGACAGTGGGATATTATGGACCTTTCCTTTGAGTGTAAGAGGGTCCAATGTACAATGTTATGTAAGGCTACAGGCATGTGTTTCCCCTGAAGGCAGTTGAGTTGAGTTCTTCCAGTCTTTGAACCCTGTCAGTCTTTCGATGTCAGTCATTTAATAAATGAGCTTCTGTCAGACACCAGCTAAAAGCAGAAATTCAGTGCATGTTGTATATTACCTAAGTGTGGTAATTTCCTACTGAGCTAATTAACATGTTCCTTGCTGCGGGACAAACCATAATATAAAAGGTTTTAATATGACCACATGAGCTGTATTATCTCTGTGGAAGAAATAGGCATCTGCATCATATCTTATTGATGTTGTCCTTACAGTATCTGTTGAATTGATATCTTCTGACAATGTTGCAGGAGAAAATACAGTTTGTAACCGTACTTGACCCAGACGCTGTCTTTTTTTTTTTTTTTTTATTATTCAGATACGCAATTGGCAGATCTGGGTTCTAATGTAAAATCACTCTCAAAGGCTGGCGCTTGTCTTTTCCTTAAGGAATGACATACAGTCATGTATTTTGTTTACCAAATTAGCCTGCCAGGCAACGCACATTTATCTTCACACCAGTTCAGTCATGCAGGTGCGTACACACTGGAAAGAAGCAGCATCTTTATGGGATGTGTGCCTTGGATTTCAGACTTGGAGTCAACTTACATTTTGGTGAGTGTCCAGGTACTCCTCAAGAGTGTGTATTTATGTCATTCAGTAGCTTTTATCAAAATGTTAGACGTCTTGGATTTATTAATCATAAATCATACATATATTCACTTAGCTACATGCACGTAATTGTTTAAAATATAATTTCTTTGCTAATTTAAAAAAAAACACATTCTATCCATGTCAAGTATTTAACTATTGAATATTCCAGTCATCTAAAATTGAAGACTGCCTGAATCCAAACCGTTCTTTGTTTTCAAATGTTTCTACATGAATGTACCAAATTTAGTGGGGTGGGGGAGCGAGAGGCAATAATTTCACATGTTCAGTTTCTTTTCACTGTGGTTTTAACATTATATTTCAGTAGAAATGTGTACACTATTCACAGAGGGCTTTTCAATAAACTGGGGGGGAAAAAACGTATGTTCTTCTTTGTGCTGAGATGAAATGGAATAATTAAATAAAAATAAAAACTGGAATACCCAATTTTTATTTTTTTGTGCACTGACCTGAAAAAACTGAGGAAAAGACGACAGCATTTCATATATAATTTTTTATTTTTCTGATATGCATTTACACGCATATAGTAAAGCAAATTACCAAACACATATACAAATACCTTATGCCATATTCTGCACAAATTACAAATTATATCTGGCACTAGTGTTCAAATTAGGATAAAGAAAAAAAACTGGAGTTTGGTGAAGAATGATAAAGAGAACCGGGGAGGAAGAACCAAACAACCTTTTGCTTTAATGCGGCGGGGGGAGGGGGGGGGTGCAGCATGTAGCCTTAATCCCCCGAACCAAACTGAGTGTGTTCATTCAGTGACAGACCTGGGTCAAAATACCATTCAAGATGCTTTTACCTATCTGGTAGAGCTTCACCTGAGCCGGCTCAGTGGCCTCAATAAAGCTGACCACTGAGCAGTAACGACAGGCTTAAGCAAACACTGAAATAAAGTAAATCTGACTTCAGGTCTGCTCAGCAGCACCGATTAGCAACACAAACCGGAATCACAGGACAAATCAATCAATCAATCAATAGGGAAGGTAACCCAGAACAAACCTATGCATCCCTATTCATCTTTGTGCATTGCGGAACATCAATGTAATAAGAACTACAGATAACAGTGCAGGTGCCTCGGGCCGTTCTGGGGCCTCAGTTATTTGCGTAGCATTTGTGAAGCATGTACAAAACAGCAGTCTGTATGTCTGTATAATCCTGGGTCTTGTCTTCATTCATCCCCCATGGTGTAAAAAGGATGCACCATACTGTGTCAACGTGTGACAAGTCAAAAGGTATAAGATTTAACAAGAGCCTGAGTGCTGTCTTTGGTAGGCAATTGAGAAGTCTTCATTTACCACGTCAGACTGTGTGTTCTGTATGTGAATGAGAATCCCTCCTACACAGACAGACATTCTGCAACCTATAAAGAGCCGTCGTCATTTGGAGTCTTGAAGACACAGTGGAGAGAGAGAGAGAGAGAGAGAGAGAGACAAACGGAGAACACAAACAGCTTCTTGAAGGCACCATGAGTTTACAAAGAAAGATATCAAAGCTCTCTCTTACTCGGTGAGGCGAGACCATCAGCCTGAATAAATCACCTTTGAACAGGACAAAACATTTTCTTGATACAATTTCACAGAATTGACCAACCCATTGGTTAATGTTAATATAATGACTTTCAGCATTATCTTGATAACCATGGCCTTCCAGAGACCTTTCTCCAATCAATCCCCCCCACCCACCCACCCCCCAACACACACACACACACACACACACACACACACACACACACACACCCCATCACAAGCTCTCAACAAGACCTGGGCTCCCAAAGTCATCCCAGCACTTAAAAACACACACACACACACACAGTTTTAGGCAACATCAGCTACAAGTATAAACTCAGTGGTTACCAAGCTGCTAAAGAGCTGTCAAGCGCCATCTCCCACAAACAGCTGTGTGTGCATCCCAAAGACAATCTCAGTTGTATTGCAAGTCGGTTTCAGTGCTAAAATGATTTAGGATGTTAAGCCCGGGCCGTAGACTTATACATTTAGAGGGTTCATCTCAAACCAACATCAAGGGAAAAGTCTAATAGTAAATGCAGACAAGAACACAAAGGCTCCTGTGTTACTAATACATTTATGGGAAAATAAAAAGAGGAAATAGTCAATCATATTGCCTGGTCCCTGTTCGAGTTCGCGTCTGGAAAGCTGTAACATTGGTGTTGCATCTGCGTTGTCGAGCCAAAATCTACAAGCAAAACTGTGGTTTCATTTTTAACCTACACAGATCAATAGGAAAGTGACCAAATATGTGGGCTGTCTGTGTTACAAGTAGTGTGAGTGAGTGAACTGTCAGTCAGCAGTCTGCAGGTCACACAAGGAGAAACACCAGCATTCACAACCTTAACATTTCTCAAATGGCTGCACTTGGAAACCCCTTCATACTTCCAACAAGCCCTCTGACAGTCACACACAGATCTCTGTTTTGCTCAGGGGTTCCTTTTTACGAAGGACATAAATCCCAAAATAACACGTCCCCTATTACAAGGGAATAACAGAAAATGCAGGTTAAACTGTAAGCTATGATTGTTAGTTTAGTGGAGGAAAAGACGTTAAATAAAAATAGCGTCTGTGCAGCACTTAAGGTATTAAGATTTCATATGTCAGTCTGTATACAGGAGTTCTTAGGCTGCTGCTGGGTTTGGGTTGGGTGCTGTGGTTGTTGGTTGTTGTTGTTGGTTTCTTTTAGCAGCTCTCTGGTGTTGCTGTGAGAGTCCAGCTCAGCGGGGGACACCAGGTTGACATTCTCCTCTGTGATGAAGCAGAGGGGGGGGTGCTCTGCGCCGTGGCCTAGGGAGGAGGTGGGGGAGTGGGGAGTGATCACAGCTCCTTGTCCCTGGGAGGAGGAGGAAGAAGAGGGGCAGGTCTCCAGGCGGTCGTTCTCCACCTCGGGTAGGGGGCTGACGTTGGCGAAGCGCGTGTGGTAGTCGCCTCCACCTGAGCCATGGCTACAGGACGTCTTCATGCTTTCTAGATCGGAGCAGCTGAACTCGGAGAAGTGGCTGGAGTGGGAGTCGGCCACAGACGGCAGGCTGCCGCTCAGTGAGGGAGAGTCGAATTCTGAGGAGTTGGTGCTGCGCTGCTCCAGCAGCTGAGCGTCCATGTCCTCCCGCGTCTCGTTGATCTTGGTGCCTCCGCCGCCTTTCTTGCGCAGCTTGCCTTTGCTCTTTTTGCCCCCCGAGCTGGACGAGGAGGAGCAGGATGCCTCTTTGGCCCACTTAGTGGAGGTTCCTTTACCTTCTGACGAGGTGCAACCATTGGAAGGGCAGGTCCAGCCACAGCGACCAACATGGTTGCCATCATCTACGCTGCTGCTGCCACTGTGGTGCCGTAGTTTGCCAGGTTTGGATTCAATGTCAACTTGGACCTCCACACTGTTCCCATCTCTGGAACATGAGGAGGAGGGAAGCATGAGTAAGACATTTAAGTAAAATACCACATCTACTGTATGTGTGTGGATGTTTGTATGTAGCAATAGGCCTCAAAAGTCTGCATCATCAGACATGATGCACATTGTAAAACATTTGGAGATCTTGCAACATCACTTAGCACTAAATGTTTCCATAACAAAGACTAGATATAAGAGTCTTGATCATTTCTAACTCATCAGTACTGGTGTGAGCAGTGACACCGACTTGGTATTTACATCATGTAATCACAGGTGTGCTTTTACTGGATATTTCACTGCAACCTGTCTCATATTACAGGTTGTTGGAAGGACACCAGCTACACAGAAGCACACAGACGTGGCCAATGAACAAGAGCCCTAATGGCATCATCAGATAAAAAGTCACTGATGCTCACCTGTCGAGGGGCATGTATGCGTTGAGAATGGATCCAGCCATTGCTTTGGTGCTAGCGTTGTCGCTGATTGTACCCAGGCTGACAGTGCCAGACTCACCGCTCAGACTGCAGCGCTCCTTCTGTACATCAGCCTGCACCTCCAGCCTGACAACATGTGAGGGGGAGATTTAGACATCGCAGGAAAGCACAGTGAAGTCCAAAATTGCACCAGCATTTAAACCTCAAGGCATGTGTTGCTGTTTCAGCACCTGTTTATGTAATTGACCATGGCACTGCCAGAGAGGCTGCCAGTAATGCTGGCTCCGGCCAGGGCCATGGTGGACGCTGTCTCACTCAGGTTGTCCCTCATGGCCCCTAGACGGTCCATGTGGCTGCCACTGGCACTCAAGCTGCCTGTCAGTCCACCAACACTGCCCTCACCTATACTGGGGTTGTTCCTTGTGTCTGCCACTGATGTAGTATCTACACAGAAGATCCGATCATCAAGTCACATTTCAAAATACAATAATAAGGAATCAAAAACAAAATGTACAAAATTCTGGACTGGTAAGGGCTTCTTTCCAAGAAAGAGTGGGCTTTTGGTTTAAGAGAAGCACAAAAAGGACATTTTTCAGTGAAAAAGAAAGTGTGAAAGAACACTTGACATCTGTGAAACTAGCAGCAGATTTCATTTGGACAGGGACTCAGTAGTGCATCAGTCAGCAAAAGACAAATTCTGTTGTTTGCTGACTTGGGCATAAACACAGAGTCACTTCTGGGTGTCAGTATGTGTAGTGGGGATGGCTGCACTGAAGCTTACCGGTGGCAGCTGCACCACTGCCAACATTCATGTCATTCTCATCATCAAACTCTATGCGAACTCCTTTGCCATTCCCAGCTGAGACGCCACAACCTCCGCTACGGCACAGTGAGATGGGCACCACACCATAGACATAAGCCAGCATGATGGGAACACCAATGCCTGAGGGGTGAAAGAGGCAGAGAGACACCAGGGACAAGTTAGAGGGGGTGGGGGGACTGTTACTGACGCACAGAAATTAAAATAGTCTAAATCTCCTTCAACTTCCCCATCTTTATTGAAGAGCTCGAAAGAAATCCAATTGACTTTAAAAACAAATTTTTGGATGATATGAACTCTAAGATTAAACAATAGACATTCCTGAAGCTAACAAAAACATATGTCAATAAAGATCTCCAGGCATGCAGACAGCTGGAGCAGAGGCACAAAGACAAAGACAAAGAGGGAGGAGGAGGAAGGAGAGAGGCTGGAGGACGGACTGACCGACAGTGACTGCAGCCACCACTGGAGACACAATAACAGAGAGTGTCACTCCACCAGCGATCACCAGGTTCCTCTTATGGTTGGAAATATCTTTGCCTTCATAGCGGTTATGGATCTGCAACAAAAGGGGAGCAATGTGAGTCACAGTGTCATATGAGTCAATCCTCTGTTCTCACAAGTAGTATACAAACTAACTGAGAACTGACTTTAGTGCTTTGGCTTTTAAGATGCCACGTTAAGAGGAAAGCTAAAATGCTGATTTTCTTCCATCTTTTAGCTGGCTTGGTAGTGTGCAGGGCCTGTAAACTAACTCAGAGGTGCAGGTTTAGGAAGTGATCAGGCATTCAAACCCAAACCACCCACTGCCAGCTGGCCTCCGAGCACTCTACAGTACTGTGCAAACAGGTGTGGGAAAAATGCTGTAAAGTAAGAATGCTTTCAAAAACAGACATGGTAATGTTTTGTGACCACCCTTTGCCTTCAAAACAGCATCTGTTGCACATAGCTGGACCAAACATCTTGGAGACCTCCCCACAGTAGCTTCTCTCTCTTCGTAACCCCATCACTTCCTCGTTCTTCTTTAAGCTGATGACTTTTACATATGTGTGTTTTTGACTTTTCCTGCGTGTTTGGGGTCGTTGTCATGATGCAGAATAAATTTAGGGCCAATCAGATGCCTCTCTGATGGCACTGCATGATGGTTAAGTATTTGTCTGTACTTCTCAGCATTGAGGAGACTGTTAATTTATGCGGTTTTGAAGGCAAAGCGTGGTCACACCAGATATTTATTTGTTGCAGATTTTTCTTCTGTTCACGTTGCATTTTGTTAATTGATAAATATCATGTTTACTCTTTTCCACACCTAAAATATTTACACATTACTGTATGTTAGTGTGATAGTGTAATGATAGTGATCACAGCCTAGGAACAGGTAAAGAGCCGATTACAAGTCATTCCCGTAACATTAATAGGTAGCAACGTTGCAAACAAAATTCTTGAGTGTGTTTAAGGAAAAAATAGCACATATCTTGAAACCACAAGAAGCACAAGTGGAAGAAACACTGGGTTAAACAGACAAGAGTCAAAACAGCAACATTGGCACAGAGCTACAAATGACACCATCAATAAGACTGCACGAATGATTGATAAGTGTGCCTGTATTTACCAAACAGTTGTTACTGTTATTTAATTCTGAAAACAAAAATGTGCAATTGATTTGGATTGGAGTTCTCTGCTGTCCCAAACTCAAAGAAAAACACACATATGTAACAAAAACTATAAATATGCATTCCCACTTACTTCCCACTAAGACTGCTTGTTAGTATTATTGCAACATTTCTGCTTTGTAAGTCAGTCAGCAGTGACAAAGTACAGCTGATATGACACTCAACACGTGACCACGTTGCAAGTAAATGGCCATGGTGTCGGTGTAGTGAGTGACCAGGACATGGATTTAACATTAAAGACTGAACGTTCACCCAGTGCAAGTTGAAAGCAGGCGATTCATGCGCAGATGTTTCACATGTGTCATGTGATCACTACTGAATGTGGTCTGGTTCAGCTCTGTGTTTTTTTTTTTCCCAGGGAGAAAAGTTTGCTGGCTCTGGCTTCTTCTTGGCAAGCTTAAGAGGGGAATTCTGGAGCATCTGGATTCTTTCATTTCATTGTAATGTCAAAATCATATCGAACAGCCTTAGAGTGATGAGATCTACTAAACAAACCCTTAGATACAAACTAACATGGCAGATTGACAAATTACCTCAGCTGGCTCGAGGTAACTTCAGAGCCTGAGAAAAGTCCATAATAGTATGTGCGCTTGTTTTACCTAATAACTAGTTGGTTACTGATTGATGCAGTGCTCATTTCTGGTCATGCTGCATGTTTACTTCCAAAACTGATACCTGTGATATGTACTGTTATGTAACACTGACTATGTTTACAACTTAGCTGAGCTGAGTTGATCTGCCTCAACCATGTACTATGTACCATGTTCTAAACTACTGTACATGACTGTGTTTCCAGAGCCTCACCTTCCTTCCCACATATACAGGGATCCCAATAATCATGGCGGGGATAGCAATGCCAGCGATGAGTGCAATGCCAACAGGGGCACCCACAAGCGTTCCCAGTTGCCAAAGAATCTTCTTCTTCCTGCTCCATGGCTTCTTCCCCCAGAAAGTACAGCCTGATGGACTGAGAGAGGTAGAGGGGAAAGATAAGAAGGAACGATTAATTCATTCATACAGTCGTCTATGAAGATTCTCAGTCATCCAGGTCATAGTTATCCAACGAAGGTTAAAATCAAGGGCAACTGGACTTGGTTGAAGATACTGGAAGAAGTTTCGTCCCTCATCCAAAGGACTTCTTCAGTTCTGACTGACTGGCAGGGAAACTCAGCTATTTAACCTCAGTGGGGTCGTTGGCCCGGGTCATCGATACATTCATACAGTCGATACTGTAGCAGGTCTGTTTACTGTATAACAGTTGTTATTGGCATTGTGTGAATCACAATTATAGAGATGAAAGCAGTGATGAGAACATTTATACAATATGTTGGAGGTCGTTACTTTACGTATCTTACAAAACTTATGTCCATATGTAAAACTACAAAAAACATCTAAACTGTGTCTGTGTGTATGAAGATGTTAACATACTGACCTCAGGTAGTGCAGGTCTGAGATCTCCTTCATGCAGAGCCAGCAGAATTCACAGCCACAGACGGCGCAGGTCATGTGATTACAGCTGCCGTCGTTCATCTTGATGATGTAAGCAGCGCAGCGTGGACATGGCTTAATGTCATCAGCTGAAAAGCAGGAGGATGGAGAGAGAGAATTTGATTTCATTAGCTTCACTGACTACTTATCTTACTGCTATCAACAAGCTAGGCCTGGTCAGTCAGGTAACGTCTTTCAAGCTTGACACGTTTGCCTACAAATAATTTGTCCAATTCTATTCTACATTTAACTGAATTCTTACTTTAATCGCCAACACACTTTTCCCATTCCTACTTCTATTGACACAAAGAACCATGTAACATCATTATGTACTGGATATAATCTTTTGCTCATTTCTAACAATGTGTGAGTGATGTGGCAGACATGCATAGGATAAATACAGAAAAAGAAACGAGCAAAAACAAAATGCAACTGTGTGCTTTTGTGAGTCTGTGTGTGTTCAGTCAGCCAACCTGCAGCTCCGCTCTCTTGGCTGTAGCTGAGGGAGGACGAGCGGACCGTCCTCAGGCGGAGGCTCTGGGCTCTCTGCTGTCGTGCTGCATCACAGGTCTGATTGGGATGCCACAGCTGCTTACAGTGGTAACAGAACTCTGTACCGCAGCCCTCCCTGCTGCAAGTGATTTTAGGACAGCTGGCACACCCGAAGGCGATCACTGCATACCTGGTAGAAGACGAACATAAATAAGGCTAAAGTTAAAATTTAATACAACATAGTGACATCACAGAATGACTTCTGTCTAAATATATCAAGGTCACAGGAAAACGGAGCAATTGGTGCCTGCAAGTGCAAATGAAAATAACTGGCCGCAATAAACGACGCATCGATGAATCGTACAAATAATCTATTGAAGCTTCGAATACTAAAATCACCGTTAGCTGTAGCCCTACTGCAGAGTACTGCTCACATTAAAGAATGATGCTTTGTCCATTCTCAGTAATTGTGTTGACTGTAGGACATCACTCTATGACCCTGTAAAAATGTCCCATAATGGAATTTTGGTTCCCAATCCACTGGTGCTATGGAGAAACATCATCCTTTATTGGAGATGACAGGATGACAAGAGAACACACTTTAAACAGAGGCCCACCTCCTCTCACTTAAGCAACACTTCCAGGGCAGCAGTTTTGCGCAGCAAAGGCCATATCTTTAAGGTGAGACTGTCCAGACCATCCGATAGTAAATGACATGATACTGCATTAAGCAGAGTCTGCTGCAGAGTCTACAGCGGTTGTCAGTCTGCCTGGTTCCCCCGGTAACTACGTCTTCTGCATGTGTATTAACATGACGCAGCAAATCCTAACATCTGTGACAGAGTGACAGTTATTGTGATGTGATGCATGATGCCTTCAGCAAAGAGACAGGAGACAGAAGCAGTGGATGTTCATCTGTTCAAGATCACAGCTGCAAAATACTGGCTAGCTTTCCAGAGGGAAACTCTGGATTGTGTGACGTCGTCGTAGCCGACTGTAGCAGAAGCTTCCCAGCCCCTCTGTGACCAACGCGAGATTAAATTTCAATTACAGAGCCATGGAGAACCTGGGAGACTTCCTCCACTGTGGATCACTCTCCTGAGGACTGTGTCTCAAATACAGACACACAGGGAGGAACACAGAGACACGTCAGTCTTATTTCATGTTTGGTAAACCACCAGCACTAAACACTACAGCAACGAAACATCAGGGGCCTGTACTACGAAGCACCATTTGAGGTTAGGGAGGTAACTTCAGGTTTAACCCTGGGTTTTTAGTCCTACAGCGGTGGTTCACTTCTGACCGGTACATCACCATATTAACTGAGGCACAACCTACTGACCAATCAGTTCTCTTGGACAACAGCATCACATTAAAAGAAACAGTTAAATGTTAGGCTAAATATTAAATGCATATATGGTGGTATCCAAGTTAAGTTTAATATGAATTAGTTTGTTATAACATGTCATGTTAGTGGTGAAGTCTTTCGACCTTGTTTTGTTAATTTAGAAAAATGTTTGGAACATTTCGGAGTGTGTTCAATAAATCGATCTGATTTTTGAAGTGCTGAGACGTTCTTGAAAACAACTAAAACAACCAATTATTTAGTGCTTGCGGCTTTTAATGTCAAAACGCCGACACACAGCCGCTGCAGCTGAAAGAATAAGGCTAAAATTGTCATGTCATAAGAATACACCTTAATTAAATGGAATACACAAGTGTAATTATAGTCAGATCTACTCGTGCCCTAATGATGGGGCAGTGACATTATAAGCCAATTAACTCTACACAGCCAGCGTTTTTCTGTTTTCCTGCATTTAGCAGCTGCACTGCGTTTAGCCTAGATTATGTTTAACTTCTCCATATTTGTCTAATATTATAGTTTTCTCTTTGTTTGTAAAATATGACGCTCTGCTGCCAGTATACTTGTACGTGTTTGTGATGGGTCATCTGCTGCAAACAGCAGCCCTTTACGTGAACGCGCTCATGGCTGGATTGGGAAACCCTGAGTTGACTTACCAAGTTGATAACCTGCACCATGTTTCGGTTAGTGAAGCCAGCAAAACAGATATCCTGGGTATGTTGAACTTGCTTCATAGTACAGGCCCCAGGTCAGCTGAGATCACAACACTTCCTCAGAAAAACTATTTCATACCACGCTAAAAGTTACGTATTGTAACTGTATTACCGGTATTAATAGTACATAGCCTTCCACCCAGAGAATGTGGAAAAGAAAGACTAAGTACTCAAGCCAATTAACCACAGCATAACCAATAAAAAAAACTTCTATTCAGTAATCTCTGGTTACTACAGCTGCTGCATTAAATGCTTTTTTAGTATGTATTTTATGTATTTAGTATTTATCTTGCCCAGGACTCACTTGGCTGGATGGATTGGAGCCTCTCCAATCCCTGTCCAAGGTGCACCTGATTATGTGTGCTAAATTACAGCAGGCTGAAGCTATTGTTTCCACAAGGACGTCATTGGTTTCAAATGTGCCTTTTGTGCATTTCCCAAACTTCTCTGAAACAAAGAACATAACAAACTAAGTAATAAACTGTAAGCATCTGAGCTACAGGAAAGAGGAACAAGCAAGAGGAAAGGACAGAGTACAGAGAAATGGAAAAACTAAAATGGAAGGACACTGTAGTTTCTCCTGAACCACTCTGGGGTGCAAAAATAAACTCTAGCCTTTCAGCACAAGTGATGCACAATTTCTGTCTGGCAAATGTGGACACAAGAGAGGAAGGAAGGACTCTTACAAGGACAATTACAAAAAACTGAACTCCGGGAACTTGTGCCAAGTTAAGATTAGCTGAACACTATGCAACGTTAAGGTTACAGCTAACAGACCACCGACCTATGCAGACATTCGGTGTCTGTGTGTGAGGAAATAGCTGTTCAGTAACATGTATACAAACTGAAAATATGTCTGACAAGTTACAACTGCGAAGTTTAACTTAGCATTGCCCGTGGCTTTTTGCTTGTGCAAAAAGAAAAGTGAGATTTGGGTGAACTAGTGACAAAGGTGGTGGACGCAAAACTACAACTAAAAACTAAGCAACTACACAATTCTTAATGACGGTCATGTTTGCTAAAGACAGCAGAGCTGAAAATGGAGAAAAACAATATTGTGACAAGACCAAAACCTCAATATAATATCAATATCTATATGTCATGGCTATAGTGTTATTTATTGTTATTTCTCAACATACTGGGACCCTCCAAGGCAAAATTCTAACATTGTTTTATGCTTCTGCTATTTCAAACTCAAAGCATAATAAAACACGTCATTCCTCCCACATTTTTATACCCTCAAAATATATTTGATACTATTCTGGTCAAGGTTACAAAACAGGACATCCGACAAAACAAAACAAAACAGATCCAGCTGCCCACATAGTCAAGGTTACTTTGGCAGAATGAGTTACAAACAGTACTTGAGAAAAGTCTGATGGGATGGGTGTTTTATAGCCACCTGACCTCAAACAATTCCTGGAAGAAAAGGAAATGGCTGCGAGAGAGAGCGCATGTTTTTAAACATGACAGAAACTAGTTCATTAAGGCAGCCTGCTTAAGCAAGTGATTCTGCAATGTTTACTGTGCCCGTGTTTGTGCATCTTCATCCCATTGGCTTATTTTTACATGCTTATGGCATGTTACGAACGTTCCAATGATTTCAATCTTTATTAAACAAAAACAAGGTCAAATTTCCCATAGTAAAAAGGTCCCGAATGCAGCCCACCCTTTTTTCCATATCACAGTCAGCCTCACAGAGACAACAATGGTTCAATCAAATTAAAATTCAAAACTGGACTCCTCATGATTTTTGGGAGTTATGAAAAGACAAAAGTTAAAAAGGTACTTCAGACAGATGTCCACTAAACTCCACATAAATGAGGTGCTGATTTGATGGGTCAGCAAGTCAGAGTCACCCTTTGACCCTGCAGGGCCTCTACAAAGACATACTGCAGTGACAGTGTGGGAGACTGGGTGAAAGCAACCTAACGAGCCATCGCTCAGGAAGATGCACCGATTGCATTTTTCCGCGCCAATTCCGATTTTTTTTTAAAAAGGTCTGACCGACCGATTACAATTTTCACCGACTGACAAAATACACAAACATTTTTGGAACTTCTCTTCTTTGGAAAATGTGGATCCCCATTAGCATTTGCTTTTCTGACTGGGGTCCATTCAACTGTATGTTCAGTATGAAACACTGACTATTGAATAACTTTAATTTTCTCCAAACGGCAGCAGGTTACAGGACCTTCTCTCACTCACACACACACACACACACACATCTCACAATAAGAAGTGCTCCAGATCAGGCTGCTCCACAGGGCTTTCTGTACAAATACAATTTCACTACAGGGCTCAGTGTTTCCCACAGAATGAGTGTGTTACTGTGGTGGGTATATTTGTATTTTCTATTTAAAAATATTTGAAAGAATCACCCTATTTCTAGAAGCCTATGTTATTTCTTATCTCACCATTTTAATTCTACTCAATTCTCCACCTTACAGACACACACACACACACACACACACACACACACACCTTCACCTCTCTCTCTTTCCCTGTATCTGTCTGCTCTGTTGACTTTATTTGTCAGCTGTTTTATAAAGACAACTCGCATTTTGAATTAATTCAACCGCGATTCGTTTTTAAAGCAACAGGTGAGCCGTGGAGGAGGCTCACCGATGTACTGAATGAGAGCTGTGTTCACAGTTTGTGCTTTAAAATATCCACCGTGTCCACGTCTTCTAACATAATACCAGAGAACGCCTCTTTGTGTTTCTCTGCAGGTATAAATTGCTAGCGTTGTGTCTCCTTCACTCACAGTGCAGAACTTCTACAACATGTTTTAGTGCGTGCGTGTGCGGCTGTGACAATAGCCGATTACGGTCTGTGCCGCTGCGTGCATGACGTGCAACACTGCAGCAAGTGTGTAACGTTTAATGTGACTGGCAGAAAATCGCACATTTGACTTTGTTTAGTGGAGAATCCTGCACGGAAGTTGGTTCTTCTTCTGCTCTTGTGGCACACTGTCCTTATTGTCCTGTCATCATCTTAGGAGTTTAAATATTGATTTACTGTAGCAAATCGCAGTACAGAATATACATGCATAATGAGCCACATCAATTATAAACGAACAGAATATCATAATAATGAAAATGAAGCACCATTACTAGCACCATAATTAGATTGATGGGGAAACACAAGTCACAAGTGACTAAAGTCTTAAGATCTGCCAGGGTGCATCCATTATTTAACACCCTTCGCTAAGTTACAAGGTCTCTCTCTCTCCATTTTCATATTCTCTTCCAATTGGAAATAGTATACCTTACATAGTTCCTATCAGTTCCCAATGGAAACATGTACCACACTCTACCTTGCACACCAAATTCAACTTCTCTAACAGGTAAGCCTGAGACTCCCTGCACATATAGGCACGAGCCTGATGAAAACCACATTCTACAGAAAACACTGTACGTCAAGGCGTATATGACTGGATCAGTGTGAGCTGCATCAGAGTGCATGTCACTGTGGCTATGGCTGTGTTCACGCCCTGCGTATTTAAAAATACTTCTTACCCACAGTCCGGCGCAGGGCACCAGCGGCAGTCAGGGTCAGCTACAAGCCACCTCCTCAGCATGAACTCCTCGTATTTGTCCATGAGCGCCCGGTCACCCAGGATCATGCGGATGTCGTGCGGGTTGAAACGCTCCGAACACTCAGGGCAGCTGATGTTGACACGAGACTCTGAGATCTCAATGCGCAGGTACTGGCGCAGGCAATCGATGCAGGAGCGGTGGTGACAGGTCATGATGTCAGGGAAGTTCTCCCTGGAGTGGCGCAGAAGGCACAGCGGGCACTCCAGTAGCTCTGCCCCCACCCCACCCCCCACCTTGGAGGAGGAGCAGGTAGAGGAAGAAGGCCCTGAGGCAGATGAGGTGGAAGCAGCAGCAGCAGAGGCAGCTCCGGTCCCAGCCACAAAGAAGAAGGCAGAGTTCTTGTCATTACACATCTCAGAGTGGATGCTCTCGATGCTGGCAATGCCATCCACCCCCCCAAGCCCTCCAGGTCCAGGGGGCTGGAGCTCTCGAGACCTTTGGCGCCCTGATTTGGGCTCCCGACCTCGCCGTCTGAAAAGAGAGGCCAGGGAAAGGCGCCTCTTCTTGGGGGCCTTCTTCATAGAGGGAAGAGAGATGGAAGAAGCAGTAGACTGTAGATCCCGGTTAGAGCCCATCACCCCACTGCTACCACCACCCAACTGCTGGTGCTTCTGCAGGTTCATCTCTCCGGAGGGAGGGGAGGGGTGTGCCAGGGGGGAGCCAGGGCTGGGTAGCCTGTCCCTCACATGTGCAGGGAGATCTGGGAGTGGGATGGGGCTTGGAGAAGGGGTAAGGTGGTGGATGGGGGAGGGGGAGGGGGGTCCAGGGTGGGGGGACAGGGCTCCGGAGGGCCCGTCTGTGTTTAAGACATGGTGGCTTCTCCTGATCAACCTCGTGGTCACATCTAATAGCCGGATTTTGGCGAAGGGGTGGGGGTCACCTGCTACGAAACTGATGCAACAGAACCTGGAGAGAGCAAAAGAAGAAAATTATGGAGAAGGACAAGAGTAGGGGGGGGGGGACAGGAAAGAAGAGATTTAATATATACAAAGTCAACCCAAGACAGTTCATTAAAATACATAAATCTAATCAAATCTGCAGTTCTGAAAGAGGAGGTACATTACTCATTGGGTTTGGCAGTTTGGTATATAGCATCACCTTCTTTAAACAGGAAGGGAGAGGGGAGTTTCTCAGCTGCAGGCAGTTGGTCAAGTCAAGTGACAAATGTCCAAACCCAAATATGAACATTAATTTAAGTACGCTCTCCTCTCTACATGGCTTCCTAAGCCATATAACACAGTGACTACTACCACATTGAAACTGTATGTTTACAGACATGGAGGGCTGGGGCAATTCATCAACATATTCAATTACCAAAATACATTGATTTGCATAACATGTCACCATGAAGTGCTGCACGCAGTTAAAGCAGGGATTCCCACTGAGAACAAGCTGCAGCTTAAAAGAAACCTGCCTGCGAGCATCTAGAGTTTGGGAGTATTTACAACGGAGACACAACAACGTGGTAACGTTACTCTGTAAGCTCTTGCACCACAAATAGTCTTTACTTTGTCCCCACACAAGCCTGATATATTAGGGTGATCAGCACAACAAATGTGTTTCCGTTAACATTAGAAAATCTATTTTAAGTGACTAAAGGTTTCTTCATCACCTCCATGTTAAAAGTAATTTCTGCATAAATGCTCTCATGGCAACGGTCCACCATGTGTCATCTAAAATTCAGCTGTTTAATATTTTCAATTTAAATAACTACCACGTATGAGTGAAAAAATGGCTTAAACTAACAGTACAAACTTATTATCTGAAACCACAATGATGCAGTTGAAATTAAGACTCACTTTAAGATATGCCACTATTATCTTTATTCTACTGTGCTTTTGTCTCTTTTTTGGTTTTGAATTAATTTTGGATAATAGAGTGATAAAAAAAACTCTTTAGTCGATTAATGTATCAACTAATCATAAAAATAGTTTGATTAATACATTTTAAAAATAATCATTAGGTGCAGCCCTACAGTCATGCATTTCATTTCTTATATAGTATTTGTAAAGCTGATTTTTTTTAAATACATTTGAAAACTCATCCTTTTCATATATTATTTCCTGGAGCATTGCTTCCTTTCTATTCAAGTCACCTCCACAATTAGTGAAATCTCTCAGTATGAGGATGCGACTAACATTCCCTGTAAATGACTGAAGTTAGTTTTGGTGTAAAGGTAATTACACACATTTCTTTAAGATTATAAATCCTCATCTTAATTGTTGTTTGATAAACAACTGTCTTCAGGGATAGTGATCATTACATTTACAATATATGAAGACAACAATAAACAAAGGCACATTAATGTCATTCCACTGCAAATTTCATACAATTAATTCCCTGAGCGAAGCCCTTACAACTGGAAAAACTATTACAACCATGAGGAATTGAAATTTGTTGGGGTCTGTATTAAACAAACCTGTCTGGAGAACAAGATTTGTATTCTGGGGCATCTCTGCAGCACTACAGTTTTTCATTAAAATGCCACACATTTTATATCCAAAGACTGCAGGTTCTGCAATTTGGATATTGCACTTGGCCATATTGCAATTTTGACAATATGTAGTAGTAGTAGTTGTCGTATTATCATCATTAATTATTACTACTACATGTGCAGCCCAATATGCAAGCTTAACAGTATTCCAATGTATTTGCTCGTTCTTTTCCTTAGTCAATATGACAGCTGGTGATGTGCAGGTTTGCATCAGCTGATCAGAGTGTCAGTCACAGAGCTGAGAAGAGGGGACAGAAGGTTGACAACCATTGACAGTACTGACGCAGAAGGATAGTACTCTGATGCGTCTCTAAGATCAACAATGACAAGGCCCGCGCCCAGACCGCCATCTGCTGATAATGGCAAACAGGAGGAAGTGTAAGATAATGCTCGGCAGAGTAGAGCAAGGGTTTGTCTTGGTAGACCAGTAACTGATGCAGCAGCAATTCAGGCTTACTACTGCGAATCACAATTACACAGACAGTTGCACAAGTGGATCATATTAATTTGGACAGAAACAAACAGAATGTGTCCATACCAGTCTGACAAGCACCAGTTTCATTACATGAATGTTCTGGATGGCAAGAGGAAGTTTAAGGGGCATACATGAAGCAAAATATGCTACATGCCGTCCTACAGAAAACAAAGCTCTAAAGCAAATATAAAGTACTGTATCCATCCAGCAACCAACTGCCATACCTTTATAGCAGGGATCGGCAAATAAGTCTGGCATCAGGCCAAATTGTTTCCACGTCATTACATGGCGGGCCAGAACTAATTCATCGTTTATAATCTGCCGTTTGTTTAGCTCAGTCAGTAGTGCACAGGACTCCCGTTCAAAGGGTTGTATGTTCAATTTCTTCTTGTTGCTAGTGTTATTTTACTCCCTTTTCAACAAAATGATTATGAAGAGCTCGTTTTACACATTAAGCATATGCAGGAGTGTGTGTCCCCCGTGATTTGACCACATTATATAAACACTTATTTTCATATCTCCATTCCTGCGTTTCTCATTTAGGGGAATCCGATCTCACCATTACTGACAGCTTTTTCAGAGGTGTGTCAAGCAAGCCAGAGACTTTTGAATTTCCTTCCTAACTTTTGTAAAGTAAAAACTCTCAATTAAACACAACATAAAGTAGTGCTGCAAAGACGCAATTTTATTTTGTAGGCACATTCACTTAAGAGGAAGTGATTATGTGAGTAACTTCTGCTGTCATGACTGAGTTCTCTTTCAGCACCAGCCGCTATAATGTATTTTTTTTGTTATCAAATAAAAATTATACTGCGATAATTAGTTATTGTTTTATTGTCCAGCCCTACATGGGCCAATACTAAGATCACGCCTATTACAAACTGTTACAGCTAAAGATTTAAGTAACAATTCAGAGTAATAAAAGGACCCATATATTCCTTAAAGCTCTTCTAAGAGTGCATGTGCTTGCTTGCATCTAAATTTCAACATAACTTTGCTGGATAGATCTGGCAATTTCACAACTCACTGTATGAAAAAACATAATTACTTCTCTGTAATCTCTATGTCTGAGTATGCATGTGTATGCGCATATTATGATTTATGACAAAATTATAATATCAGAACAGATGGCTTCTGAGCCAATCTGATGAGTGTTCTGTCCACTTGAGGATTTCACACATTTGAGAGGGTGAGAGAACAAAGAGCCAAAGAAAAGGAGACAGAGGAAGACTGTCTAAACTCCAACAGTGCACAGTCACAGAGGCAAAAGAAGATATAGCATGACCAACAGCAGATTTGGGGGGTTAGGACTATTGTTACCTTTTAATACTGCTCACAATGTACCAAAGAGTAAAGCTGATGATAAACAGAGCAACTTTTAGAGCAATGGTGAAGGGCAATGTTGCCGTCAATGTTAAAGAGTAAAGATTACTACGTAATCCCCTTCCCAGCAACACTGCTGTAAAAGTTGCCCCGTGTATCATCAGCTTTAAAGACAAATCGTGTACGGTATCAGGTTATTCTACAGTTGAACAGCAGAACTTATTGACTGTATCATTGCTTCCTCATTTGTGACATGTCAACTCACATCCTACATAGAAATAATCAAATGCTGTAATTTGGTATCAGCCAAAAACATCGGCCGTATTATAAATTGGTCAGGCCTACTGTTCATTCGGACCAAAAGCGAAATGACGGTTTGGGACGGCGCGATTACATACAAATTCATTCAATACAAATACATCTGCGTGAGGTGAAAATTTTCAACTCGAGCGAGAAAGTTCAACGACGCTGTGTCGGGATAGCCTATCAGCGCTGATATTGTCCGGACATCACCGACGGCTTCAAAGCAATGTGTTTAGAGGACCAGCCGGAGCAGAGGATTGAAACTCCGCTGGCCAACAGAGAGTTTGAGCTGTGGAGGAGAGAGCAGGGGCCAGCGCTGCAGCTTTTGGGACAAATAAACACCCGTAGTCAGACTGGATTATGCATTACGTACAGCGCTAACCTCCACAACCCAGCTGTATTCGTTAACATAACGTTAACATAGCTATCCTTATTAGCTAGGCTCCTTGCTTGCTAATAACTTTTAAAAGGTGCGCTTCAGAGATTGATAGTGCTGTGTTAAGAACATAGATTAACTTGAGTTAACTTGAATGCATTCAAGTTAGTCATTCAACTCCGGATTGATTCAACGCATTATCATGTTTTGATTCAGATCATACACGAAGAGGAGGGGCTATTCACAGACAGGTCTGTTGTCAATAGCGTCTTTCACACTGCCTTATTTTCCGGGAGTATCGCGCTGTG